GGTAAGATGATTCCTCACAAATGTGCAAAATTTGACTTGGATCATACGAAAATTGAATTCATGAAAATGATTTATGCTACACTAAATTAACATGTAAATCTATGGAAGTTACGTCAAGTGTCCGAATATAACTGGCACGGGTCTGTACTTACTCTGGTTGTAGAAATATGTATTCTTAAGATATAGTGCGTGCAAAAATCAAATAAAGTAAGAAGTTATTTAAAATGAACTCACGGTTGTTTGAACAGAATCTTCTCCAGACACATATGTTCAAGCTCAAAGTTTTCGGACGATGTTCTTTCAAAAACTCTGCTGCTACTCTCTGGAATGCTTTGTCTATTGACATGAGAACTTGCCCATCTTTGGAGAGTTTCAAAGCACATTTAAAGACACATCTCTTCAAAAATTGTTATCCAGATTGACATTTCATCTTTGTCATGTACAGCGCTTTGAGCTTATGACTATGGATAATGCGCTATAAAAATGCTCATTTATTTATTTATATTTATTATATTATTTAGAAATTACGTAAGTGTATCTAAAGCTACACCGACAGTCAGTGCCGACGCACACGCACGCGCACGCAGACGAAAACACAAAGTTGTGTTTACTTAAATCAGAGGTCAGTATTGATTGCACAAACCTCTACCAACACACGTGAAGTGTAACACGACAAACCTTATTTGTGTAAGCACTCATTTTAGTAACATTTACACTCGTGATTGGAATGAAAAACACTGATGTGATCGAGACCACCGCGGGATGAATCGTCCCCCTTGACCTCAACCCATGACAGCCATATATCGTTACTACACTGACCACTTGCCGTGCTGTGTTACTCACTTCACAAACATGGCATATGTCGCTCGCCCATGCCTGAGTTGGCCCTAACAATAAACAGTAGCTCTGCTGGGTAAAAACAGGCGAACCCCTGTTGACCAAGGGATAACCCTAGTTAACCCTGTCTGACCTATGTTAGCCTTGCTTGTTGTTTAACGCCGCACTCTGCAGTGTTCCAGCTATATGACAGCGGCCTGTAAATATATGTGTCTGTACCAGACAATCCAGTGGTTGTCATCACGAGCATCGATCTACGCATTTGGGATACTATGGCATGTATCAACCAAGTCAGCGACCTCACCACCCGATCCCGTTAGTTGCCTCTGACGACAAGCATGGATTGCTGAAGACCAATTCTAACCCTGATCTTCAGGGGTCACCAATGTTAGCACATGTCAACTGATTTACTTAAGTTGCCCATGCCTATTGGTGTGCGGTAATCGTGTTAATAGCTTCTGAGTGACGTCGACGATAAAGGTTATGTCTTAGGCCATCATGATATATTAGACCATCATGGTGTCTTAGGCTATCAGGATATATAAGCCCATCATGGTGTCTTAGGCCATCATGATATATTAGACCATCATGGTGTCTTAGGCCATCATGATATATTAGACCATCATGGTGTCTTAGGCCATCAGGATATATTAGACCATCATGGTGTCTTAGGCCATCATGATATATATCTTAGGCCATCATGATTTATATGTTAGACCATCACGATGTCTTAGGCTATCATGATATATTATTATGACCATCACGATGTCTTAGGCTATCATGATATATTAGACCATCACGATGTCTTAGGCCATCATGATATATTAGACCATCACGATGTCTTAGGTCATCATGATATATTAGACCATCACGATGTCTTAGGCCATCAGGATATATTAGACCATCACGATGTATTAGACCATCACGATGTCTTAGGTCATCATGATATATTAGACCATCACGATGCCTTAGGACCATCATCAGGATATATTAGACCATCACGATGTCTTAGGCCATGATATATATGTTAGATATATATCTTAGTTAGATATATTAGACCATCACGATGTCTTAGGTCATCATGATATATATGTTAGACCATCACGATGTCTTAGGTCATCATGATATATTAGACCATCACGATGTCTTAGGCCATCAGGATATATTAGACCATCACGATGTCTTAGGCCATCATGATATATCAGACCATCATGATGTCTTAGGCCATCAGGATATATCCATCACGATGTCTTAGCATCACAGACCATCACGTGTCTTAGGCTATCAGGATATATTAGACCATCATGATGTCTTACGCCATCAGGATATAGACCATCACGGTGTCTTAGACCATCATCATATGTCATGATGTCTTATATGATATATTAGATCATCACGATGTCTTAGGCCATCAGGATATATTAGACCATCACGATGTCTTAGGCCATCATGATGTCTTAGGCCATCATGATATATCAGACCATCATGATGTCTTAGGCCATCAGGATATATTAGACCATCATGGTGTCTTAGGCCATCATGATATATTAGACCATCACGATGTCTTAGGCCATCATGATATATTAGACCATCACGATGTCTTAGGCCATCATGATATATCAGACCATCATGATGTCTTAGGCCATCATGATATATTAGACCATCACGATGTCTTAGGCCATCATGATATATTAGACCATCACGATGTCTTAGGCCATCATGATATATAGGACCATCACGATGTCTTAGGCCATCATGATACATGAGACCATCACGATGTCTTAGGCCATCAGGATATATATGTTAGACCATCACGATGTCTTAGGCCATCATGATATTTTAGACCATCACAATGTCTTAGGCCATCATGATATATATGACCACCATCACGATGCCTTAGGCCATCAGGATATATTAGACCATCACGATGTCTTAGGCCATCATGATACATTAGACCATCACGATGTCTTAGGCCATCATGATACATTAGACCATCATGATACCTTAGACCATCACGATGCCTTAGGCCATCAGGATATATTAGACCATCACGATGTCTTAGGCCATCATGATACATTAGACCATCACGATGCCTTAGGCCATCAGGATACATTAGACCATCACGATGTCTTAGGCATCATGATATATATATATTAGACCATCGCGATGGTCGGTGGGGTAGCCTAGTGGTTAAAGTGTTCGCTCGTCACGCTAAAGACCCGGGTTCGATTTCCCACATGGGTTCAATGTGTGAAGCCCATTTCTGGTGTCCCTCGCAGTTATAGTGCTGGAATATTGCTAAAAGCGGCGTAAAACCAAACTCACTCACTCTACATATCATTTGCGTTTTGTGTCCGATACATCCCTAAGTTCCACTTGAATGAAGCTAGTTAACTATCCTTTAATCAAGTGAACCCTAGCTGCCAGAGATGTAGTTACCCCTTTTGACTCAGGTCACACAAGTGATACCAATCAAACGCCTGTTCCGTGTCGTTACCTCCATTGTGAGGTATCACATGGCCCCACGAACTCCTTGTAAACGGGGGTCACGCCACTTAGACTGTTTAACCCTTTAGGTTTGAAAATGAGTCCATTCTCTCAATGCATTCCTGGAATAATTCTCAGATTCAATATACGGCATGAAGCACACGGATGATATGGAGACTCTCCGAGAATAAAGATGAAAGTAAAAATCACAAATTCCCAAACTGCACAATGAAGGCTATTATCTTTGCTTATTACCAATGAGTGGTAATGGTTACTTGTGGTTTCTTTTGCCCATTGCTAATCACAAATCAGCGTTGAATAACTTTATGTTTTCATATTTTCCGCCTTTATTATCTTATCACTATTTCTTCGCCATCCCAGCACTCATTCATGAAACGTTATGGTCGTCCTCATACAGAATCTGACAATCATAAGTTCTCACTTTTATGTGTATCACTTGTGAATGCCATTCAAAGACGTGGTTTTGAGGATTATATTCACACTGATTATTAGCACCACGTGGATCACACGCCTAATGATGATGATATACCACGTGTATAAGACGCATAATGCTAATGATGTACCACGTGTATAAGACGCATAATACTAATAATGTACCACGTGTATAAGACGCATAATGCTAATGAAGTACCACGTGTATAAGACGCATAATGCTAATGATGTACCACGTGTGCCACACGCGTAATGCTAATGATGTACCACGTGTATAAGACGCATAATGCATGTACCACGTGCGCCACACGCATAATGCTAATGATGTACCACGTGTATAAGACGCATAATACTAATGATGTACCACGTGTATAATACAATTCCAGGTGGACCTTAAATCTAATGTTCATGATATACCACGTGCACCACACGCATATTGTTATGAATACACCACGTGCACCACATGCATAACGTCAATACTATTCCACGCGTATGTGCACAACATACATAATGTGAATAATAATGACCTACACATAAATGTTCATGATATACCACTACCTACATATTGACTTACATACATATAACCTACCTATCTACCTACCTACATATTGACTTTCCTACATATAACCTACCTACCTACCTACATATTGACTTACCTACATATAACCTACCTTCCTACCTACATATTGACTTACCTACATATAACCTACCTACCTACCTACCCACCTGCCTGACTTACCTACCTACCCACCTGACTTACCTACATATAACCTACCTACCCACCTACCTACCTACATACATACTTACCTACATATAACCTACCTACATAACCACCTACCTACATACCTACATATCTACATATTTAGTATTATTTACCTACATACACACCTATCTACCAACATATTTACCTACCCACCTGCCTACATATTTACCTACCTATCTATCCACCTCCCTACATATCCACATACCTACATATTCATCTATCTACATACCCACCTACCTACATATTCACACACCTACTTATTCACACACCTACCTACCTACCTACATATATATTCACCTACCTACATACCCACCTACCTACATACCTATCTACCCATCCACCCCTGAGTCACTGGAATTGTGTTAGTCGAACGTGTTTTTAATGTGGCAGTTCTATTTGTGGAATCCTGTCCTAAGTTACATGTTGATCACTGACGTCATCAATCGTGTTCTCATTTCAGCCACCATGACTTGGCCTGAGTTCATCAAGCACATGCTGGCGACCACCCACAAGATACAGAAAGTAGCAGTGTTGGCTGAGGATGGTCAGCCTCTAGCTGTGACGGAGGACCTTCAGGTGTCCGTGGAGGAGGGCCAGGCTCTGATCAGGAGCATCTTGGACCCTGCACGGACGGTCACAAAGATCCACATGGATAACAACTTCTATACGTGTTTCCAGGGCAACTCCAGGACGTTGGTTGGGACGTCGCCTAACAGAGACAGAATATTCGTCGCCCATAAATATAAAGACTGCGTTGTGGTTGTGTTCGGCGGGACGAAGGGACATGGGTCGTATCTCTTTGAGTTGAAGAAGAATCTTTGGGCGAGAGAACATCATCAGCAGCAGATGACAAATTTACCTAATGAAGGGCAGATCACTGATGTACCCAGTCAAGAACAGATAACCAATATACCCGGGCAAGGGCAGATAACCAATGTACCCAGCCAAGGGCAGATTCAGCAGATCTTGAATGCAGCTGAGGACGAAAGGTTAGCTTCTCAAGAAGCAGACGACATCGAACAACTCTCCCAGATGGACCAGGAACCGATGGACATTGATGACTTTCCACAAGGACAAGACAGAATAGGTGATGATCTAAACCTACTCCAACTACATGATTGACTGTTGGGTTTGTTTAGAATTGGCGATCTTCTTGTGTTCAAGTACATGCAATATTTATATGAAGCATTTAGCATATTATCTTGTAAGGAATGAAACTCTGGAGGCAGCTGGTGTCCTCGTTGTTACATATGCAACAAATAACCCGAAATACTCATTTTAGATATTTTACCTACAGGACCTCGTTTCACAATAATCCTGTTGTGTGTTTCATGGTTACACAATGGGCTATTCTACCATTGTTTTCTGAAGCCAGTGCAATCACAGAACCATTTATGTAAAGATGATTTATTGTTCAGAATAACACTATTCAACCTTATATTTTCCCCCCGTTTACTCAACTTAATATATATGAGCATGTGTCCTATCCTTTCCCAAACAATCCCATGGTGTCATTGTACAAAACAAATTCTATCGCTACGACTGTCGTAACTTTATTTTAAGGTATGGGAGTTACGGTCACCTTAGCGCTAAGATCGCTTTGTGTAGCAACACCATGATATCATTGTACAACACAACCTTAGCGCGACAACTGTCGTAAGTCTATGTTAAGGTATGGGAGTTACGGTCACTTTAGCGATAAGATCGCTTTGTGCAGCAACACCATGATATCATTGTACAACACAACCTTAGCGCGACAACTGTCGTAAGTCTGTGTTAAGGTATGGGAGTTACGGTCACCTTAGCGCTAAGATCGCTTTGTGCAGCAACACCATGATATCATTGTACAACACAACCTTAGCGCGACAACTGTCGTAAGTCAATGTTAAGGTATGGGAAGTTATGATACTTGATAATACACCCTGAATGTGTATAGTACTATACCCGCCTAGAAAAGTAGTCGTGGCCTGCTCAACAGTGTAAACTTCATAAACACTATAATTTCGTAAGGAATGTGGAGTTCATACTCTGGGCTGTTCCAGGGTAATTCATTCCGCACTAGTTAGTGTCAGGACAAACACAAATGGTGCAGCCATGCACTGAATAGAGTTTGTCATATGACGAAAGCGAAAGGTTCAGATTCGACAACTTACATTTGCTCTGCCACACATTGGGCAACCATGCGCGCAAAGTGGGATATTATAGGTCATTTCAGGTTTACTTCATTGAAAGAACCTGTTTTGACTGACACTATATTTGAGGTTGAATCGTTTTCATTACTGAATATACCTATGCGTGTCTTGCAGGGTGAGGAAGTATTTTCGACCCCTGAGGAACATACCTCGGCCTTTGTCCCAAAGTGACACTGTTCAAGAATCTTGCCTTTAAACAGTGGACGTAGCAGGAACGTCTCCACACCTCTTGACGAGAGCGTATTACAATACAAGCGGGACATGTTGATATCCCTACTGAATAATCTATTGACAGTGTTTGGTGCTATAACAAATGTATTGTATACAGACACATCTGCTTTTCTCTGATCTAATGGCAGTTTTGTAGTTTATGGCGTACCGTGTGTTCAACAATACATGTATTATAAATAATTATATTATGGCAATTTTAAATGAGTATATGGGTTATTGTGTCATTGGATTGTCTGGTCCACTGAAACTGGATTGTTTGGTCAAGACTCGATGTTTCATAGGCCGGGGTCATGTGACTGCATTGCCGCTGTGCGGAGATATGCAACGATAAAAAACTTGCCTTTTTCATGCAAACTGTCTGAATGGTGGGTGCTACTGGTAAGGTAAGAAAAGCTTACCCTTTTGCTGACTGCTTCCCGGTGATTCGTCCATATAACGTTCTACGCTTCTTTGCATTTATAGCCCAGTGGAATCAATTTATATAATGACTTTAATTTAGTTTTATGCGCTTTTAGCAATATTCCAGCAATATCACGGTGGACACCAAAAATGGGATTCAGTAGGGAATCGAACCCGGGTCTTCGGCGTGAAGGCGGACGCTTTAATCACTAGTCTACCCCACCGACACTTTTATATAATGAAGACTGATTAATCTACAACGTTTTTTAAATACTTAAATACCACTACATTTAACCATGATTTCAGTTCGAACATTCATTTCTGTGACGAAATGAAGTAGTTAGCGTATAATACTTAAACTCACATGAATGCGCGTGCGCGCACTCACACACACACACACACATTTATACATGGCTATTCATACTACGTAATTTATAACGCATATCTTAAAATTCGGATTATAAATCACCTGACTGCTTTCAGCTGCTCTCCTGTCTTTCCTTTTAGCTTCTGCTTGTAATTTCAGGCAAAGCATATATTTTGACTAAATATTTATATATTTTTCAAAGGTTTGTCTTTTTTAATATACACTGTATATTATCTTATCCTGTATCTCTTATTATTTTTTATTGTTTATACAATAAACCGCTTTAATCAACTAATACTCATCTGTTTCGGTGAACTAAGTAGTTTGGCATTACTCTATTTGATATATTATTCCCATGGGATTATTGTAACACATACTTTAACATGAATGATACCACTGAACTAAACGTATAGTTGTTGATGATGGTGTTTGGGATTTTACGAGCGCTTCCAGAACTCCTCAGTTTGCACATTTTTAAATGAAGCATCTTTCCGAGCATATCAAAGATCCGAGAATCATCACCTTTTTTTTACTGACCCTGCCTGCAATGTGTCAGTTCAGTATTTTTCGTACCGTGGGTTACCCTTAGTGGCCTCCAGTTGTCATTGGAGGTGGGTCAGCCACTGGCCGTCACGCAGGGCCTTCAGTTGTCAGTGGATGTCGGTGAGGTACTGGCTATGACGGGACCTCCACTTGTCAATGGAGGTGGGTCAGATACCAGCCGTTGACGGGTGACCATCAGTTGTCCGAAAACTCCGTTCTCGAAGAGTTACTCTGAAACATTGCAAATACAGCTTCGATATCTGTATCAAATATATTACCATCTTGTTTGTTTCAGTTTTAGTCATCATCGGGCATTGGGGTATATCTATTCATATTAGTATGTTAATTATAAACTGAGGAAAAAAAATAAGGGATCGCATGAACACACGAGTGTTCCTTTATTTTTTTCCCTGGTTTCTTCACAAAATTTGTATCGCAAAACTTGTGAAGGAACCTGGACAAAAGTAAAAGAACACTTGTGATTTCATGCGATCCCTTATTTTTTCCCGTCAGTATATATCTGATGTATCATTGAGTGATAAATGTTGTCCTTATGAATGATAAACACACACACACAAACAAGCACACATAATTCTTATAAGGGTTGGGCATTACATTACTAAGCGACTCTGTGTACTGACATATTAAACTGCACCATCTGGAGTCACAAGGTTACAGAGCCACTGTATAGAGCTGCATCTTTCTGTACTTATACCCTGTAAGTCCTGTGTGCATTCCTCTCATATACTGTTACCATGTATAATGCTGTCGGTAATAAATGACATCTATCTCGGTGTTCACATAATGCTTTCTTCATTTCCCAAGTCAACTATATCACGACTGACTGACTGAGTTTGGTTTTACGCCGCTTTTAGCAATATTCCAGCAACATCACGGCGGGGTACACCAGAAATGGGCTTCACACATAGTACCCATGTGGGGATTCGAACCCGGGTCTTCGGCGTGACGAGCCAACGCTTTAACCACTAGGCTACCCCACCGCCCCACTATATCACGAGACAGTGATTTTGATTGCAATATAAAGCCGCACTCAGCAGTATTCCAGCTATGTGACTGCGGTTTGTATACAATCGAGTCTGGACCACACAATCCAGTGATCTATATTTCGAGTAGCGATCGACGTCTGACAACCCAATGTATTTCGTCATCAGGTAACAATGTACCATGTCGTATCAAGTGATGAAATACTAGGTCACATCAAGTGATGAAGTACTGGGTCACATTGAGTGATGAAGTACTAGGTCACATTGAGTGATGAAATACTAGGTCACATCGAGTGATGAAATACTAGGTCACATCGAGTGATGAAGTACTAGGTCACATTGAGTGATGAAATACTAGGTCACATCGAGTGATGAAGTACTAGATCACATTGAGTGATGAAGTACTAGGTCACATCGAGTGATGAAGTACTAGGTCACATCGAGCGATGAAATACTTGGTCACACCGAGTGATGAAATACTTGGTCACATTGAGTGATGAAGTACTAGGTCATCTGAAGTAATGAAGTACTAGGTCACATTGAGTGATGAAATGCTTGGTCACATCGAGTGATGAAGTACTAGGTCACATTGAGTGATGAAATGCTTGGTCACAGCGAGTGATGAAGTACAAGGTCATCTAAAGTAACAAAATATTAGGTCACATTGAGTGATGAAATACAAGGTCCCATCGAGTGATGAAATACTTGGTCACATTGAGTGATGAAGTACTAGGTCACATAGAGTGATGAAGTACTAGGTCACATCGAGTGATGAAGTAGTAGGTTGTTACAGGTGATTAAATACAAGATCGCATCAAGTGATGAAGCAGAAGGTCAAATCGAGTGATGAAGTAAAAGGTCATCTAAAGTAACAAAATATTAGGTCACATTGAGTGATGAAAATACAAGGTCCCATCAAGTGATGAAATTCTTTGTCACATTGAGTGATGAAGTAAAAGGTCACAACGAGTGATGAAGTAAAAGGTCACATCGAGTGATGAAGTACAAGGTCACATCGAGTGATGAAGTACCAGGTTGAGTGATTAATCACCTTATGAAGTACCATGAACTTTTGTTGTATCCCAGGATGAAGGAAGCTGATGAAGAGAACACACTCAAGGTGTAAAATTACAACTGCCAAGCTGAGGCAGATCCAGGAATTTGAAAAAAGGGTTGGGGGCTGACATGCACATTATACACAAGTTACAAAGTAAACAGGTGGTTTGAGCACTTAAACTATATAATGTTGTGTTAGATGAGGTGCTCAACCATGCAGCATCTTTCTGGATCAACCAGTTGCCATGGTACTGTTGGAGATGATGTCAAGACATTAGTTAATTGATTTCAGTTCCTGAATACGTAAGAGGCGACTAACGGGATTGGGTGGTCAGGTTCGCTGTCTTGGTTGACACATGTCATCGGGTCCCAATTGCGCAGATCGATGCTCATGCTGTTGATCACTGGATTGTCTGGTCCAGACTCGATTTTTTACAGACTGCTGCCATATAGCTGGAATATTGCTGAGTGCGGTGTAAAACTGAACTCACTCACTCACTCAGTTCCTGAATGGCACTCAATCAGCAAAAATATGTATTTACATCCAAAGACAATGGACCAACAACTCATTACAAATCAGGGTCCCAATCCACAAAGCATTCGTAACATTGCAACCTATCGTAACTCATTACTATATCACTCTTTACGAATGATGTAGTGCTACAAACGCTTTGTGGATTGGGTCCCTGTCCCTAGGTTCTTTGAAGAGAGTCCTGGACAAACAACAGTCACAAAGGATGTCTAAAAGTATTTTAATTCATCCCCATAACATTCCTCTATCTAGAGACACGTGAGAAACTGTACACAGCATAACAGGTTCACTATATACATATAGACACAGTCCTTTCAACATGATATGTCAGTGTTTAATACCCAACAACAGCACTGCCAAGCTGAGCATAAGTAACAGGCATAAGTACGTTGCCTTGAATATTACCTCGAGTCAAATTTCTTTTGCAGCCTGAATACACTTTTTCATAAAATATTGAACCTTGAAATATATACTCTGAAATGACCTGAAACTGGCTTTTAAAGTTTGATGCAGTATCGGGTGGGACATATTTAATATGACCATAAGCATCAATTCAATGGAGGCAAAAAACAGCACTAGCAAATGGATCAACAATATGAAGGCAAACTGGAGCTCATTGCAAAGACAAGCAACAATATTACAGCATTGGACACAAACCTTGGACTTTGGTGTAATGAGCAAACACATTAACAACTGCCCCAAGCATCTCTAGAATGAGATGACCAAAAAATAATTTGGATGATTTTTTCTATAAAATTTGATTATGTAAGTTTAATGCCACTTTGAACAGTACTAATTTTTCATACCATTTTTCACCTTGCCGAGGAAAATAGGACCCAAATAGTTCCGGTCATGGACATAAACTAACTCTGCAAAACCCATGGCTGGGGGTTTGTGTCCACAAGACCATGAACTGAGCACATAGAATGTCCAGCCAAGGGAGGTAACTCTAATCAGTGAAATGTGGAGCTGAAAACATGGAAACACGTTCAGCTTCTAAAATATTAGATCTACAGACTAAACCACTGGCTGCTTCTAATTCAGAATCTGTGTAAAGCACAAGTGTTGAAAATGTTCAAAAACACTTTGGTTTTATGAAGAATAAAAAATCGGGAAGTAAGAAAAATAACACTTCTTGCAACTAAGATCACCATGACAACACTTGATGGTGAATAACAAATCACAATTTCATCCATGACATATCCTCTTATACATAAGTATTCCTGTGAGTAAAATAAAGAGAGAGACTGACAATTTTACATATCATTGTCAATATTGCACCATGGAAACAAGAACTGTTTTACAGATGGAGATGATGTGACAATGATTCAACAAATATAATTATCTCAACGTTGTTGTCCCTACTATATATAACCCTCCTTTGGCACTAAATTGACAATGAATTCACCATGACATGAAGTATGAAAAGTAAATTAACGGGTCATTCATGATGAATACATAACCACCCTTATGTTATGACAATGACATATCTTGTTTCTTGGTCAACGCAGGTTATCAAATTACAATAACACCTCTGTGGAAAACAACTTATTTGACACAAATTATTGAGACAGCTACTAGGAAACAATCTACATGTTTGATCAATCTGCAAGACAGAACCCTACATTGAAAACACAGTATGTTTACCTATTATTGATATCAGGTGTATTACTCCAAGTAAGTTAAGAAACACATGATTGTTTCATGTAACCACAGTATACTGTTCCTAAATTTCATTAGAGCAGTACATATGAATTTAAAATTCAAGAACACATGTCATTAGGTTATAGTCAAATATCAAAAATGTCAAAATTCATTGCAGAGGTGGATACAGCTATTTCAAGGAGGGGTGCACAGTTCATTTCATCTGTTTTCACAAGAGTTTCAATGGCCATTTAATAAACTTTCAGGACAAAAGAGGGGATGTGCTACCCCCCTCTGGATCCACCTATGCATTGACAAATAAAATAGGATGACTTGCATATGAAGCAAACCCTTGTTTATGTAAGTGCTGTAAACAATGCAGTTTTACAGGTAAATTGTTTCAGTGTGCAGAGACAAAGCAAAAAGAAAAAAATAATAAAGTTGAAATTTCACATGTACAATTCCCTACTCTCATTATACAACTTGAACTTCGGAATTAAACAAAACTAATGTGTCCTCAAAGAATTCCATCAATAACAAGAAATACAGTCATATACCATTTCTGAACTAATTAGCACCTCACCTCTAACAATTAACCTGTGTATAATAAACACATTAAACTCATTCTTTCAAATAAGCTGAAAAAGTAAATACAGTGAGACCCCGGATACCCAGACCCTAAATATCCGGAAACCTCACCTTCCGGTCAATTTTCATAAAAATACAATCTCTTACGTTATAAAAGTGACTGTGTATAGCGGATATGTGGTTTCCGTTCCCGGATGGTAAATTTTACAAGCCAACTGTCTATATTAACACAAAATTACTCACTTATCTGCACGAAGCTTTGATCTACGGCTGACCGTGTGAAGTGCTAATCCGGATTAATGACCGATCAGCAGGGTATTGGTGGTGTTTAGTAGGCCTATCTGGCACAGAGTGAATTGTAATTGGCAAATCAAAATAACCTTGCTGTTTTGGAAGTGATTTTAAACCAGAAGTGTATGCTGGCTACCGTTTCAACACCTAAGCCTGGATGACAGAAATCCAGATATCCGGAAATTCAGTTATCCGGACGATTTATGCAAAACCGAATGTATCCGGATATCCGGGGTCTCACTGTAATATGATTTGTCTTTAACAGTTTCTACTGTAATATCACACAAAACTCTCATTGTTGGTATCAGTCCTTTTACCTTAATTTGCAAAGAAAATGGAAATTAGGTCCAAGAAGAGTTCTCTAGCACTTGAGTAACCACAGATCAAAAAGACAAATGTTTAAAAAACAAACCCAACATTCATTGGTTATTTAAAAACAATAAAAACCCAGATCAAACACTTTCAAATCAACTCTTGTGTACTTGTGATTGATGTATGACTGCTTAGCTAGGTAATCTGTCTCTTTCTCTTCACCAGGATAATAAGGCGGTAAGAGTACTGGGTATGCAGAGGTCATTGGATTCAAGACGAGAATATAAATTGCACTCTTCAGTCATGAAATACTAGGTCGTATCAGGTGACAATGTACCAGGTCGTACCGAGTGATGAAGTACAAGGTCATCAG